CAATAAATAATTAAAGATATAAACAGACATACCATGTTGACCTCAGACACCATGTCTATGCTTGCCACATCGATGCTCATGCCAACTGCCACCGGTGCGCCTTAAATGAGAAGAAAAACTTAATCCTCAAAACCATTTAAACCATTTATTTATTTTATATCAATCTTAAAAACAATCTTGAAATATTTATGTAAGATTAAATAATGACGATAATGACGTGAGCATCATCATACCTCCAAAGTCCGGTCGAAGACGAATGTCATAGCCTTTCAAAAGCTTGTCCACTGTCTCTTTGACAAAAGACATGTTTCCTGGTTCATTGGCGCTGAAAAGAAACAACAAAGAAGGTTATTTCCATCAGATTAGAGCCCAGGAGGTCTATGCTCTCGCGCCATGGTCTCCACCAGCTCTTCTTACCTTTGAGCACAGCAGATCACTGCCACAATTACCGGTAATGAAAGAACACCAAACAGCCTTCGCTTCTGTATTCCAAACATTCCTTATACTCTTTCAGGCAAGGAATCGAGCGACAAAACGGACGTTGTAAGGTTTCCTTGCGTAGGTAACAGGTTACGTTATTCCATCAGTGGGTATTTCCTAAATAACTCCAATTACTGTCAAACGCGCGTAAACAAATCGCTGCGATCCGGGTTTTCGCTCTCTTGCGGTGACTGCGTTATTTGGTTAGGTGCTCGGTAAATACAATGCATTTTGCCCAAGAAACTACCGGAGCTTGCAGCAGGGGAGTCGGTGTTTGGGGTTCAGCCAGATCTCCATCCTTCGTTTTGACGCCCGTAGCTGCTGTCCCGAATCTACACCCTGTGCTGAAGTCTCAGTCTTATGCCTCTTTTTATGATTCAGCTACAAGCAAAGGATGGTCTGAGTCAGTTGACTTATTTTTCAAATATACCCAAACAAAATACGCTTGTTATTAGATGGGAGAACGTGAGAATTGGAAACTGAAACGGAAAGTTCGGCTATTGATTCGACAACTGATGACGGAGTCGACCGGAGTGTTATGAAATTGGTATGTGAGCACGAGGACTTCAGTTTAAGTATAGTGGTTACGTGACATTCCACAAGCTTCGGCGCGAACGCCGTTTTGTTGGTGTGTAACGCGGAGTTTATCGAAAAAGTATTCTTTCCACGCGTCTGTTCAAACAAAAACTTAACTACATGACGTTCAACACGTGTGGTCTCGTTGGGCTCATTGTCTAGTAGATAAAAGCGCACATTTTAACGCAAGTAAAAGTTGACGAGAACAACTGGGAGGGGTTTCCCCTCGGTTTAACTATTCGGTCATGGAGAGCAATAAAACGGCAAGTATTTTAGGCGATTTATTCATAAACCGCTCCTGTATTTTGCCATTGTTGCTGGTGGGTGTACATTTTTTTGTAATCTTTGTCAGGAGAAAGCAACCTACAACAAATCCGCAAGACTGACTGAGTCACTACTCGTGTTGCAAATTCATCATTTGCTGTTCAGGTAGACATCAGGTTTGGTGGTTTCTTACCGTGACTTGAACACAGAAATTCAAAACCATAAAAGTAATAATTCGTTTCATTAGTATTTTTCAACAAAATTTCAGTAATCATAGAAGTTTGACTACATCAAGAATGCGAGAGAAACAAGAAAATCTCAAAAGTAGGTAACCACTGGTATCGCTTTCTTATAGCTAGATGTACACGTCACATATATAGCATAAAAAATTAGTTTTGGTTTAAAATCCATTTGGGGTGTTTCAATCAATCAATCAATCAATCAATTTTAAGTTGCTACTCAGCTCATTCCTTCCATTCCAGCGTTATGGACACTAGTAATCTCTCTTTCTCTCTGAGAAGAACATTTCAGCTGCACATATCTGCTATAACAAGGTATGGTGGTATCAAATGGCAGTGCTTTAGAATTGTATTAGAACATTACATTTATTAGGACATCTCCTGTACTGTACCTCTGCATGCGTGCACACACGCGTATTAATAGTGATAAACAGAACATCATGTGACATAGTGGAAGAAGAATAATGCTGCTTTATTGACACCTTCTGTGACATAATCAATCTGATATATTACTTGTTCTCACTACCACTCCCCATTAGTGGATATTAAGGCTTCTCCATTTAGCCTCTAGACAATTTTATTATACATAATCAGATTTTCAGTTAGGCTTGACAGTCTGCTGGAGATTAAGCACAAGTGTAATGGCTTCTACCGAGCTTTAAAAACTCATTAAACTAATCCTGTTAATTTGACCTGTGTTCAAAAAAGAGGTCCGCATTGTTCTGACTGAATGGAAAGGTTGTTTACGAGAGTTGCTGGTGGATTTGACACGGTCAGTGGTTGAAGTTAGTGGCCTTCTTAAATCCCTCACACTGCATTAAGACTGTAGTGTGTGGACTGATGCTGCTCTAATGCTTTTAGAAGCAGACGCCGGATGCAGAAGGATGTGGCTGTGCTTCCTGGTACTTTTTCAGAAGCTTTATTCCAGAGAGGCGAGGGTTGAGACTCCACTTAGATGTTATTGGATGCCTGTTCTTCTTGTGTCCTCAAGTACATACTATTCTGTTAGTGTAGCAATATTTCGTTTTTGATCCGCTGCCTGAAAAAGTGTTAGGACTATATTAGTCTATAATGATAGATATATCTAGATCAGGGGTTTTCAAACCTAAAAGCCCCCCCAGCACTGCACATTTTGTATGTCTCCCTTAGTAGACCCAATTCAAGTCTTGCAGTCTCTATTAATGAGCTAATGAGTTGAATCAGGTGTGTTAGATGAAGGAGACATACAAAATGTGCAGGGCAGGTTTGAAAACCCCTGATCGAACCCCCTTCATTTTTTTTATTGTTAGCAAATCTTCTTTAATCTATTTTAGGACAGTAACCCTGTCTGTACCAAGGTTAGCATTCATTAAATGCCTTTAAATTCCAATCCAGTTTCTGAGTTTGAACTGAATTTGAATTGAGGTAGCAATTGCAATTAGAATTTTATGGGAAATAGAATTAAGTCATGTCACCATTATTTATATAGCGCTTTATACAATAGCGATTGTTTCAATAACAAAGAAGTAACAGTAAATTAAAATAAAATGAATTTAAATTTAGTTAATTTCATAATACAGTAATGAATCAAATAGAAGAGCAAAGTTTATCAAAAAGCTCTCTCGTGAATGGCAGCGGAGACTGACGTGGAAGAGAAGAATTGAATAAAGTCGTTATTTTTGTTTGCACAAAAAAAAGTATTCTCGTAGCTTCAATTACGGTTCAACCACTGATGTCACATGGACTCTTTTAACAATGTCCTTTCTACCTTTCTGGGCTTTGAAAGTGGTAGTTCCGTTGCTGTCTATGCAGGGTCAGAAAGCTCTCGGATTTCATCAAAAATATAATAGTTTGTGTTCTGAAGATGAACTTGCAGGTTTTGGAACGACATGAGTGTGAGTAATTAATGACAGAATTTTCATTTTTTTGGTGAACTATCCCTTTAAAAAACCTTTAAGTTTGATAGATAGACAGATAGATAGATAGATAGATAGATAGATAGATTTCATCATATTTATTAAATTAACTTTTTTTTGACCAGGGTGAAAGAGCATTACATTTCCCAGAATGCATTACCTGTGTTGCAATTCAGTAAATTTCTTTTCCCATCATTCCATTTCAGATTTTTGTATGGCCAATGCAAACTCATGAATTGCCAGGATATTAATTATTCAGTTCTACATTTTGCAACAACCCCTTTCTGTACAGAACTAAAACTTGAATCATGTCTAGTGTACTTTTTTCACCTCTTAACCTCAATTTTGGGATTAATAGAGTATAAAATATTCAGTATATCATTGCAAAAAAGTTTGGAATTTCTTTGTAGCCATACATACAGGGAATGATTTCTTAGCATCTTGCAGTATAAACGTTTATGAAGAGCAGCTAATATAAGGAGAGAGATGGAAAGCGAGGGTAGCTCTGAACAGCACTTACCCACACACACCCACATCCCATCATCCAAACAAAGCACTCCACTCACACATCATCTGCAAATGCAAAGGCTCCTCAGTGTGTGGGCTGAGCAAATGGCACCAAGTCACGGTCACACACCAAGCCAAATGCTGTTAAAGCCTTTAAAGTAACACTAGTCAAACAGGCTGTGGGAGGACTGGAATCTTTTACTATGATCCCTGTCTCTGCCTTTAAAATGCCCAGTGTCCCCTGACCCCTTTAATTGTGAGGTATAAGGCTGTGTCCACAAGTTCACAAGACACTTCGCTTTATTTCGCCCACTGGACTATCAAAGCGTTTTTTTGATCTACTGTAGGGGTGAGGTATCACTAAAGGGGGAAATGAAAACATGGTTGTACTGGCTTCCATTGAAAGGGTTTTTCCTTCCATTCTTATCACATCGCACATGCAGAAGATCTCTCTCCTCCGCATGACCCCACCACCCCCTCCTGATTAAATGGAAACAGATAAATAGATCCACTAGATGGAGTGAATATTGCACTGTGCTGAATGAATAATGTATGTACGTGACTGACATTGCGGGTCTGATTTGTTTTAGATTGAGACAGAACTCCGCAAATTCACTCGTAATACCTATTGAAGGATTCGGACCCCTGCGATACTATGGAAGAGATGCATGGATGCATCCTGTGGTGTTAAAGGAATAGTTTACACAAAAATGAATATTTGCTGAAAGTTTTAGGCCATTTAGGATGTAGATGGGTTTGTTTGTTCACCCCAACAGATCTGGAGAAATGTAGCATTACATCACTTGCTCACCATTGCATCCTATGTGATGAATGGGTGCCGTCAGAATGAGAGTTCATACAGCTAATAAAAACATCACAATAATCCACAACATGACTCCAATAAATTAACATCTTGTGAAGTGAAGAGCTGAGTGTTTGTTAGAAACAAATCCATAATTAAGCATTTTGACTTTAAAATCTAACTTTAAAATACCAGTCTGTAATCCATAATAATGCTTCCTTCAGTGAAAAAGTTCATCCCGTTTTTCTCTCACATGAAAATCCTCCAACATATATATATTTAGAACTGTTTAGGACTATTTTCGTTTTTAAATGGTGCTTTATCTGTGCATATTTCTCTCCTGATTCAGACCAGATGACTTATTCACTGAAGAAAACAATATTATGAATTGTATTTTAGCTGGAAGCAATGGTTTGAAGTTAAACATGTCTTAAGGATGGATTTGTTTATTACAAACACACAGCTTTTCACTTCACAACATGTAATTGATGGACTGGAGATTATTGTTATGATTTTATCAGCTGTTTGGACTCTCATTCTGACGACACCCATTCACTGGTGAGCAAGTGATGTAATGCTAAATTTCTCCAAATCTGTTCCTATTAAGAAATAAACTCATCTACATCCTGGATGGCCAGAGGGTGGGCAAATTCTCAGCTAATTTCTCCTGATTCAGACCAGATGACTTATTCACTGAAGAAAACAATATTATGAATTGTATTTTAGCTGGAAGCAATGGTTTGAAGTTAAACATGTCTTAAGGATGGATTTGTTTATTACAAACACACAGCTTTTCACTTCACAGCATGTAATTGATGGACTGGAGATTATTGTTATGATTTTATCAGCTGTTTGGACTCTCATTCTGACAACACCCATTCACTGGTGAGCAAGTGATGTAATGCTAAATTTCTCCAAATCTGTTCCTATTAAGAAATAAACTCATCTACATCCTGGATGGCCAGAGGGTGGGCAAATTCTCAGCTAATTTGAATTTTTGGGTGAAATATTTCAGCATGCTGTAAACACTAGTGAGTATAAAATGCTATGAAATGTACTTTTATCATACACAATGATTAACTTACCTTGTGTCATAGATTGCAAACAGCTTTTTATTCCCATCCACAGCATTCCTGCAAAACAGAGGGAGGTGATGTTACTATTCCCATCATTCAATGTCCTGTTACTAATTTTAGAATGAACACATTCTGTAAACAATTGTGATGTTTCTGATTGTGTCTAGTAAAAATTAATCCCAAAAAGCATTACCAAATACATCACTTTTAATATGTCTTGAGTTCAAATTGTGTCGTTTTGTTCATCTTTGTTATTAAAGATCTGTTTAATATGCACACATAAAACATACACAACTAGATCAGAATTATCAGATGCTCGCAGGACACAGGTGGACTGTAGAAGTAACAGCTGCTCTTGTGTGAATATCTCTGGAGTGCACATCAATGGAGTCAATCAGCAGACAAAAGCGCTTCAAAAATGAATCAATCCCCAAAACACATGACTACAATATCATATTATACCTACACAACAAAACTGTCTGCACAATCTTCATGAACCTAGAAATAATCTCATCCTAACGGATGTTTTTTCTCAATAGCACTGTGACCATTAAAGACAACCCAAAGCAGATGTTTAATTTACTCGCTTGAATCATAGACATTCTTCGGTTCTCTTGCTGTAACATCTTCAATGCATTACTTTATTCTAAATACCCATAGTGAGTGTATTCTACTGGAATTCTTTAATACACATGCTTGTTTTATATTTGAAGTTATAATATTTATACTTTTGAGTTAGGATTTAGCATAATCACAACAATAGTGCTGTGCCACTTTTTTTTCATATATTTTTTGTGATGTGTATAACATTTAAGACATTTCCCAGACGTCCTGTCAGCCCACATCAGCATAAAGGGTGTCATTTATAAAAGAAACTAATTCAATAAGTTATTTTCACTTATGCACAACATGAAATTGGAGCAGGTAGAGCTTTTTGAGGTTTTCATTTATCGACTGATGCACTGCAGTGATAGTCAGCATCAGAAAAAATGGGTTTAGAGTTCCCTCTGATGGCTGTCCTCATTACTACTCGTGCCTATTCAGTTTCTTATTAAACAATAATCAACTCTACTATCGTAAACCATTTTTTTGTATCTAGTCCTGCCAAATCAATATTATGTATCTTAGACTGATACCTTGATTACTTTATATAGCTAGGCTTCATACATATTTTAATTTATACTCAGGACTATTGTCTAATTTACAACCCGTTTTAATTGAGTAAAACTGATACTTTTAAACCATAAATATCCCCAGTGGAGATATAATAGTCCGCATGTAGAGGAAGCCAGTCTTCATTAAACAGCCTGGCGCAGGGGGGGGCTGCCTAAGGGTAAACGCTCGTGCGCAAAATGCCTAGTAAGCAGAATTGTTGGGAAATCCACTCATTTTCTAGAGTCCACGCTTGTAACGCAAGCCGGGGTAATCGCGCTTTTCTCTGAATAAGCTCAAACAAGATAAGTTTCAAACCCCAAACGGCCTCTCAAATTTCCCTCGAGGGGTAATTATGCAGCGCGCGCAGAGGTTACGTCCTATTACTTTAGTCCCAAACACGAACAAATGCCACTAGAGAGACAGTCGGGCTAGAGTGGGGAGAGCAACGGACGTCCAACCCGGCGACCCGGTAAGTAAGCGGAGAATCTGTTAAACTCTGTAACGCTTTAACGGTTGCGCAGATAAGCGTTGAGATGTCGTACACTAGGCTACCACAGAGGGAAGAGGGGGGAAAAGTAATGGTCTGTTAAAAGGGATGTGTTGACTAGAGGGAGAATAGGGGAAGAGAGAAAACAGACTGTTTTAAGGGCTGTTGTGCTGTCTGTTTACTCTCTTTCAATTGGATTTAGGAGTGATGAAGAGGTCTTTGGGATGCGGGGGATAGGAAGGGATGCTCTGCAGCGGTTGTTCAGTCACTGAATCGTAAAAGAGGACGCAACATTGAGCCTGAATGGTTAAGACTGTATATTATCTGAAGAACAACGCATCACACTACTGCTGTAAGCTGAACGTTGCGGGATTTTGCTCACTGCTTCAAAAGGAATTCATTGCAGTTGTTCAACGTGGATCCACTGCACCATTCAGGTATTTAAGGTAAGATACGAGGCTTTTACTGTACACTATCTCTGCTCAACTCTGCTTTGTAGGACTCACTATAAATGTTCGACAAGTTTATACGCCAGAGGCTGTTAAAACTATGAATTACAGCTGCTGCAAACTCAGCGCTCCTACAGCTTTTACAAACGATCATGTTGAAAGAAATTCAAGGGATATGCACAAAAAACATTAAACGGATTCATGACATTGGAATTGCGTACAAATAAATAAATAATAATTTAAATAATAACTTGAATTAGAATCTAAAATTAGAAAATAAATAACATTATGCATAAAACAAAATAAAACAGCATGGTAATTACATGAATAATAATAATAATAAAGTATTTGCTTAATACTTTTGGTTAAATACTCTGATGATCTTTGTTGTTTTAAGTTTACTGATCATCCCATTTTATGGATTTTGTATACACCTCTAACTCTCTCTTTTTTCCCCTCTTAATATTATTTTTAAATTACAGTGTGCATACTAGAGTTTCATGAAGAATGGCCAGATTATCATAATGCTGGAATGAACTCCCTATCCTGGACTTTTGCAGATATGGGATATGGACCACATTGCAGCGCCAAAATGAGAAGTCTTTGGGTCGGTGTTTTGTTCATGACTTTCACCTGCCATCTGAGGTAGATTACATCTTTAACGTAACTTTCTATTTTATGCTGACCTCATATTTTTATTGCAGGAGTCATTTAATGTAAGATAGGATATGTCTGTAATGGATTCATATTGATTCAGATTTTCAGACCATTATATCACTGTGGTCATGTTTGAAGGGAGAATGGGAGCTAAATACTTGTAGTTATTAATTATCTTTGTGGTCTTGTGCATCAGCCTTTCCCAGTCTACTACAGGGATTCCTAAAGAGTCAGAGCTCAATGATAACATCACAGTATTCACACGAATCCTGGATGGATTGCTGGATGGCTACGATAACAGACTGCGACCTGGGCTTGGAGGTAAACTGCCTTTCCATCTTTAAACCATGATCTGTTGCAAAGTCGTGCTTTAGTGAGAGATTTTTTTTTTGTATATTAGTGGCATTTATGTCTGGCATTGACCTCTGGTAGTTATTCTGAAAAGATGTGTTCAGATAAAGGCAGATGGTTTTTGAAAAACAGAGAGAACGCCTGCACATTCCATTGTGACAGCGGCATGAAGGACTTTCATAAAAAGAAAAGAGAGAGAGATGCTGCTTCTATTCAGTTCACTAACTGGGAAAAACTACATAGAAAAGAAAAAAAAATTATAGAGCAGATGTTTACACTGAGCAGAAGTGATCACTGAAATTGCCTGGTCCTCTGTGAAAATCAGAGAGAGAGAGAGAGAGGGAGAGGGGGGGGGATATCAATGTGGCTGCTGACCTTGAGAAAGCTATCGTTCTTTTCCAAAGGTGCAGGTTCATTGTTCTCAGAGGTTGAAAGCATGACATTACGGCAGAGAAAGAGAATAAACACAGGCTGCTCTGTTTCCACGTGAGTGAGTTCAAGGGAGCACATCTCATAGCTGTAGCAGCAGCAACGTGATGTCAATTGACAAATGATGGCATTGGACTTGATTTAGTGCTTTGAGAAGGAAAGTGCAATCAAGCGAATGAAATTAATTTATTTTCATTTAAAAAATGAATGCAAATGCCAAATCAAAGCATACTTTAATAGAAATTCTGTAGAAAAATCTATCTATCTATCTATCTATCTATTTATCTATCTATCTATGCAATGACCAAAATTGAACTTGATCTAATAAATCACAATTTGTTTGTGATTTTACAGAGAAAGTGACAGAAATTAAGACCAACATCTTTGTGACCAGCTTTGGACCAGTGTCAGACACTGAGATGTTAAGTATTTCAACCATATCCTTTCTTCATGAAGAAACACCATTCATTAATCTCTACAGCAGGAAATTCCCACCCGAGATCTCTCTTCATCAAGACCCCCTTCATTAAATCATGCCTCCATCTGTAACATTACTTCACCTCTGCAACTTTTCCTGAAATTCTGCATGCAATATCTTAGGTAGGTTACAGTATGATCTGATGAATGATACTATTGTTCATTTTTATATTCAGTCTTGTGATACATTTGATTCTGCCTTCAGGCAAGGTCGTTGCTGTAATTGATGGGCCACTGGAGAAAAAGTTTATGGGGAGGCCTCAGTGGGCCCCTCCTCCTCATCATCACAGGGCCCGGGGTCCCTCACAATGACCCTGCCTTCAGGTACACACTAATGACACTAACATTCTCCTTTCAACAGGAATACACCATTGATGTGTTTTTCCGTCAAAGCTGGAAGGATGAGCGTTTGTGTTTCAAGGGGCCAATGGAGATGCTGCCTCTGAATAACTTGCTGGCCAGCAACATCTGGACACCAGACACCTTTTTCCTTAACGGCAAAAAATCCATTGCTCACAACATGACAACGCCCAACAAGCTTCTGAGACTGAAAGATGATGGGACATTGCTGTACACCATGAGGTACCAGTTTAAGCTATAACACCTTGTCATTTCCCAGTATGTGAACTGCTGTGTGCATGAATGGATTTGAGTAGTTATGGGTAGTAGTCATACATTTGACCTTCATCTCATTTATGCCCTCCTCACCCCTGTTTTGCACTGTTGAACCCTCTGCCATGTGACAGATGTGTTAAGCACACATGAACTCGGCTCCCGCTGAACTCAGCATCTCATGTTCCACATCGTTCAATCTCTGTGGGAATGTTCAGCTTGCCCCTGCTAAAGCTAAGATTTCTCTCTATACAGTACTTTTTTTCTCAGTGTTGTCTTTTCACAAGAGGTCACTAGGTTTATCTTTCTTGTTGTTTTCTTTTCATTAGTGGTGATACAGGGTGTCCGCGGGTCCTTAAAAAGTCTTAAAATGTCTTAAATTCAGATTCGATGGGTCTTAAATATTTTTGGTCACATTACCGCTAAAATATCTTAAGTCTGACGGACCTAATGACTGTTTACAATCATTGGACAGACCAAAGATTTTTTTTCTCCCCCGCAGTAAATTACTGCATCATCAGAGAGAATCGCAGTAGCAGAATACAGGTCGAACTACCTTCTTAATGTTCTCAATAATAATAATAATATAGGTCGAGCTACTGCTGATCAGCCTTCTAGCTAGTTTAAAATGTTTTTTTTTTTTACTTGCCTGACTGGACAAATCGCCTGATTAAAACATAAGTGAAAAAAAAAAACCCAGCGAAGCATCGAAATACGAGAATGATTCTTCTAATTTTATTAGCCTACATTCAATGTAAATGTCAGACTCTGTTCCGTGTTTTGTCCTGTGTGTGCTCCAGCGTCTGGTATTGTTCATGTCATTATGTATAGCGTGAGTGTTCCATGTTCCGTTGTGTCAATTACACCCAGTTGGATTGATGTACTCCTCGTCTCTCTCCGTTCCTTGCTCCTCAGTCCGCTCAGCAGTGCACCCGTGACAGTAAACAGCGATTGATAATGGATAGTGTATGTATTTCTGGTATCAAGGTCGCGCTGTTGAGGCTCACTCTGTTTGTCTCTTTGTGAGAGACTTCAGAGAAAATGAGCGTAACAGCACACATAAAGAAACTCAGAAGAAACATACTGCGGTAAAAATTCAAAATGTTTAGTTTATTCATAACATGATATAGTTAAGTAACATACATGACAAGTGAGCTATTTTGCTGAATATTCTCACGCTGCAAAAAGCATTCAAAACACCTACAGAGTGCACGCATGCATTATGTGACGTCTAGACTAGTGCGTGTGCGCATTTAGAGTACGTTCTTTCACTGCATGATTCAGTCTATTAAAATGCTTTTACAATGATCACAAAATTCAAGACATGGGGGCAGAAAATGTATATATTTATTAGTGTTGGACGATATGGCCATTTTTCAAACCGTCATATCGCCAGTCTGTCAGATCGCTGATAGACGATATTATCGTGCATGGGTGGGTGGGGGCAAGAGAGAGACTCCGTGTACTTGTCATAGGCTATTTCATAACGCGACGCGCGCGCGAGAGAGAGAGGGAGCCTATGGAAGCACCACGAATCTAAATAATATACTTTTAAACATACTGATAAACTATCATGTTAAATACAAAAATATTTAAAACAGCTAGTTCATATATATTCGGATACAACAGTCATACATCGCTATTAGGACCGCCCGTCCTAACAACGTCATTTAAAACAGGTAAGTTAATATATTTAGAGTAAATTTAAATTAAACAGATACATCAGTCATACAGCGCTCCGGACCGCGCGCCCCATGATGAGCCCGATGCACCGCCACAGAAAGAAGAATGAGATGCGTTCTAACATAACTGTGGCATTAAACTCAGTTAGTGTAGGCACGGTTAAAATATTGCACATATATCAGGGCTCTAGACTCATTCTTTCCACTGGTCGCTCTTTTGCGACTAACTTTCTCAGTTGGTCGCACAAGCACATAATTTGTTCGCAATTTTTTTTTTTTGCTACAACATTTGATTAATCAGTGCATGCTGATGAACTTTTATCATAGTTTATAGTTATATGGTAACGAAAGTGTTCAACATTCAACCTGTTCTTTTTCATCAGTATTATTTGTGATTTAAATTTTGTGAACAGGAATTCCTCTTTTCCTGCACTTTCACTTTCAAATTTGCGATCTTGGAGTCACATTTTACAAGAAAAGATAATTGTCTGTTTTGCTTATATCTATACACCTTTCACTTTTTAAGACTAAAACAAAAGATGGATTTATTGTTATTCCTAATTAAAAAGCACAACAACTATAAAACAGTAAGCTACAATGAACTAGCTTACATAACCTTTATTAACAAAAAACGAATAAGATGAGGCATGGCATAGGATACATCACATGCTGTATATACAGACTAATAAATTACAGAATGTTTAACAAACACTGAGGAATCAAATAAATAATAATAATAATAATAAAATAAATAAGGAGAGCCTCCATAGCCTAACACAAGGTAAACAGCAAAGATAACAAGCTTTTCAAAACTAAAACAAAAAGAAAAGTAAAACTAAACTGGCTGTTGCTGACAGGACTTGCCTGTTTTTTTCCACAAGAATACCAACATGTTCACCTTCTCTGGTTTAAGAAGCGGTCTTTTACTTTAGTTTGTAAACCAAATCCTCCGTTGCGCTCCGTCCGTGGCGCGCACCTTCGCGCTGGCGCTGGCGCTGAAAGCGCCTCTCTTCATGTGATCAGTGAAACCTGACTCCTGCTACAATGTGCCGCGGCTCTGCGGCACGCGCTGTATGAAGCAGACGCTTTGGAGCAGCTTAGACCATGCACTCGCACAAATGCGACCACGTCAAATTTTAACTCGCACATTCTCAAAAATTGGTCGCAGTCTAGAGCCCTGTATATAATATAGGCCATTCAGATTGCTTGTTAAAGTGCAACGAAATACCTTATATCAGCAGACGATATGTGTCTGTGTTTGTGGTTGGAGACTCCTTCACCGGCTACAAGCTCCTCATTTGCGCGCGCATGTGTGTGTGTAATACAGTGCTGAATGAAAAAGCGGGGCAATTTGATAATAATAGCCGAATTATAATGAGCCGCCTAATAATAATAATAATAATAATAATAATTATTATTATTATTATTACTATTTAATACATTAATAGGAGAATGAGCCTAATATCGTCTTGACTATACTATCGTCTATCGGCACAACCCTAATATTTATACCACTTCATATAGTTAATCAATTTCCCATGAAGAGTGCCGTTTTTTTCTACAAAAATTACCATGATCACAAATGTGATATTGATTTTTTTTTACAACAGTTCAATAAACTAGAAGTTAAGAGACTTATGTTTTAGACACCATATTGTCTGCTTTTGCACTATTTCGACAACAAAAATAATTCCAAACAAAGCCACAACACTGTTTTGCTATTCTTAGAAACATGATGGTGTTTCGTTCCTGAATGAATCAACCGTTTAAATGATTTGGTTTAATCGCAATGACTCACTCATTTACAGTGACTTGCTGCCACCCCTACTGGCGGTTTCAATTTCACATTTAAAGTATCTTTTATTATTTAAATAATTTCAAATATCAGTATTCAACATTTTATGTTTAATATATCAAAACATTATTTATGTATTTGTAAAAATAGGCCTTTGTAAAGGTAAATAAAAATAACCAGATTTAAGTATGTAAAAGCTAGAACTGATGAAAATATTGCTTCAGAATAAATTGTTTACACCACCAAAAATCTCGGTGATGCAGTGCTTTTGTGGGTATATTTTGCATGGAATATTGTCTGCTGATATGAAAAGTTCACTGT